CCCCCATCAAACTTCCCCGCCTCCTTCCCTCCAGCTCACGCCCCCGCATCCTCCAGTATGGTGAGGTATGGTGCGGCCGGCCGCCGCCACGGGGAAGTACGTAGGACCTAAATTTAGCCAGAGGAGCGAAACAAGGTATTCCTCCACTGAATATTAACGGAAAGGCACAAGTGGGGAAAGTGACGTTCTCCGCCGGTGGTGACGCGGCACCGAGTATTAACAAAACGGCGAGGCGAGTCGGGAATACAATTAAACGGACCCGCGCGTGCAATGCAATCTCTGGCCCGCGAACAGGACCCTAGGCCACGACTATTAAAAGGCGCCCGCTCCGCGCTCGTCTTATCTCCCGAGGCTCGCGGGCCATTCGCGGTCGCGGGGCAACATTCACGCACGGCGCCCGGCAGATAAGCGCCGAGCGGGTGTCAGCCGGCCCGTGAGAAAAGCACCCCCGAGAGTATGGGAGTACCTGCTACCTCGCATGGCAGAGCACTTCCCTCATGTCACAGCGCACGCCCGCGGCCGACGTACCCACGAGGAGACCGGCGCGCGCGCGCGCGCCTCACCGAGGGGCGCTAATGTTTGCTCGCTCATCAGGGTGCTCGCTTCTGTCGCTCCTCCGCTACCTGGATCCCATTCCGTGAGACAGACGCGCGGGGGGGCGAGGGGCCCGGATGGGGCAAGGTGGGCTCGGCCGGGGGCCGGTCTCGTCGGCTCGGGCGAGGCCCGGTGCCAATCCAGGGGGGACCGGGTGCGATCGAGAGAGTGAGAGAACCAACCTCCAAAATCGAAGACGGCGACGAGAGAAAAAAAAACACACTCGGAGGAACACTACACACACAGAGACTAGATTGTCATGGAAAACGTTGGCTTGCGGCTGGTGATGTCTTGAAGTTGATGAAGGACTTGAAAAATTATAACTTAATAAATAATAAACTTGCGTTTGGTCGCAAAAAAACGTGATGATTGGTGGCAACAAACTTGGTTAACTATCACAGATCACTTTGTTCTTGTTCCTCTTCCATGTCACTAATTTATTGATATCACACGATATTTGTAAACAGATCAGGCACTCTCACTCACACACTGTAACTAAACACAACGTTCACACGCATTCACTCGGACTTGTTCGTCAGTGGCTCTCGCCTCGCCTCGCTCGCATCAACTGTTGGTCGGGTTGTCTTGTCCGGCTGAAGCGCGCAGCCCGGCACGGGAGAGAAGGGGGAGGGGAGGGGAGCGGCAAGGTGTGCTCGCGTCTGGCGCGGCTCGCCACGGCCAGTTGGGTGAGAATAGGGGGCACACAGGTAAGCCAAAGAACACCGCGCCACGGCTCGACAGATACTCCACTCCCCTCCTCTCTCTCTCGCACACATCCTTCTCTATCCCTCTCCTCGTCAGAGAGGAAAGAGGGGGGTGGGGAGAACAGAAAGGAAGAGAGAGAGAGAAGGAGAGGGGGGAGGGGAAAGGGGATCTGGGGGCACCCCGGCGCAGGCTGCATGCGAGTACCAGGCAGCGGCCTCTCTCTCGCACCCGCATGCCCGTAGACGAGGCGATAAGGAAAGGACTGCCGCCGCGGAGGCCCGGTGGCGGCGTGGCGTGGCGTGGCGTGGCGCGGTGGCGTAGCGTGGCGCGGTGGCAATGCACGCGGTTTGCACGCCATGCGCCACGCCACGCCGCCGCGTGGAGCCGCGCGGACGCGGAGAGCCACACACGCGGTCATCATGGAGCGCCCCAAAGTGGAGCCGCCGCCGCCACCGCGGCTGGACAGGCCGCTCGCGTAACCGGCCCTTCACGGCCCTTTCCCCGTGGCCCGGCCCGCAGGAGGACACCTGCCTCGTCCCCCGGCGACCCGCGCCCACCCTAGCCGCGCCCCGCGCCCCGCGCGCCGTTTGCCGGCCCGCGAAATTTGCAAGTTGATTGTTTGATGGGCTCTCCGCACGCCTCGCGGCTGAATCGCTTTTCTGGCGGATTTGAGCAGCACCCCTTGCGGGAGTAAGGGTGGTCCCGAGCGGGGGTACCTCGACATTAGAGGGTGTTGGTTGAACACTACGTTCAGATAGGCGAAATCGCAGATTGATGAGATTAGGTGTATTTCGATCTTTTGTATAAGGCACAACAAGATGAAGTCGCGGCTGGCTGGATCTGCAGGCTATGCGCTGTCGGTTGCGTACATTCAGGGGTTTTGTGACTCAAATTGCCTACCTTCTATGCGGCTTTCTAGAGACCACAAGCCCCCCTGTAATCTGCAGCTGTGCCACGCTGATATCGACTGAAAAAACCCAAGTTACAGTTGCATTGACACAAATTTTGAAACGTCATTGAACGACGCTGTTTTCGGACACCGTGGAGTGCGTTGTTCATTCTGATATACACGTTATCCCTGGCTGGCCCATTGGGCTCCCTGGCCACATGCCCATTGCCCATCCATCCGCCTCGGACGGGCCAGAGGCAGAGGCAGGCAGGTGTGCGCTGGCCGGCACTAGGGGCACTAGCCCATCTGACGACTCTCTTGGGTAATGTCGCTCCCCGGTCCCGGTTCAACAGCACGGCCACGTCGCAGTTGTTAGGTTCAAGCTTCCCGAAGGTATTTATTACTATTATTATTCGTAATCCAAATCACACCTCGTAACGCTACACCCGCGCCGGGGCCGGCCGAGTCCAAACCGGTACCGCAGAGACTCGGCTTCGACCTGAGACATTTCAGAGAGACCTGCACCAAAGCAGCACCGCGGGTAGCGCCAGGCCATACTGGAAGGCAGGCGCAGCCGGCGCACTCGCTGCTCCGCACTACCAACTTTGACGAAATGTTCCACGTTTCCTGGTTTCGAAACCAACTGGACGGGATTCAATCCTTTGCCGCCCCGCCCGTTCCACCCGCCACGCCCCGCCGCACCCCGCCGCCGCGTCTCCGAACGGCGTGGAGGGGCAGCAAGTGCAACGGCCTCCCAGCAGAGCCGCGTGGTGCTTCCCCTCCAACACAGAGAGCAGGATGCAGTTGGATGCAACGACGATAGAATTCAAGTGGATGCAGATGGATACTGCGGAATGCAGTGCGGCCAAGACGACAGGTGGTATGACTCTTTTTTGCGCTTTTTTCATCGCCAGCTGCTGATGCTGGCGGTCTATGCCTGGCAGTGCTTTGACGATCTTGCACCGCGGCCCCGCCGCGGCCGCGGGCCACCCCGCGCCGGCTGCACCTGCACCACCCGGGCTGCACCGCCTCGCGACAGGTCGCAGGCTGCGGACAAGCTAAGCGAGTATACAGTGTGACGAAAGTCGGCTGGCGCACGAAACGTCGTTGCCGGTTTTCAAAATTGAGTGCGTGGCTATCCTTCTATGCGTGTGATTTGAGCAAATGACTCGTGCCACGACTACACCATGATTTGCAATGCTTTGGTTTGGTACGCAAATAACAATCAGATGAGAATCACCAGCCCGCTCGTGTCACCCCATCGTCGATACGAGGATGAACTCCCCGATGGACATGGTGGAACACCCCGAGGAACAACTCACGTCAGGGAACATCCCCTCCCTCGGGTCGGGGCTGGTAGGTGGCAGGGCTGGCCGGCGACACTGGTGACCTGAATGCGGGTGGGGTTGGAACGCACCTCCACCTCCAGCATGATAGGGTTACGGCCAAATACCACAAAGCGCTGCATTTAGGCCCGTTTTGTTCAATATCTCGAGTCACCCACGCCTCTGATCGCCGGGGACTGAAACTGACATCAAGGTAAGAGAGGGGTTCCAAATCTATCAGGATAACAAAGATCCAGCTTTCTACAAACATTGGTTTACCGGTCTGTATGAAGCGACATATTGTCCAGAAGACACTTTTGTGACAAAGGGGGGGCGGGGGGAGGGGGGGGGGTCAATGTGAGATGTCGTATACACGACGGCCCAGTGGCTGCCTGCTTGCTTCTTGAAGTAGCCGCGGCCCGCGGCGTCGTGGAAGTGAGCCCCCGAGGGTCCCCGAGGGCCGTATTGTATGTAGATGCAGGTGGGTTGGGTTGACCCCCCCGATTGACCCCTCGGTGACCCGACCCCGTGGTCCCCCGGCTCCGCGCTGCCCCCATGTATTACGTCAACGGAAAGCTGAACGCACTTTGACTCCCGTGCCGTCGGAGCGCGTTTGCGACGGGAAGGCGGAGCGCGAGCGAGTGAACGCGAACCACGTGAACACGGTAGAGAAAGGGGGGGGTAGGGGGAAGGCCCTTGACAATCCCTCTGTCTGACTGCCCAGTTGGGTGGCATGGCGTGAACTTCACGTCGTAAAGCCGGATGTCTCGATCTCGACTGGGTCACACTGAGAGTGAGAAATTAATAGAAATCGATGCGATTACGATACAGGCGCCACCCCGGTCCATCCCCACTCACAGAACTGCGTCCGATGCGATATCGAATCAATATCAACCACCGATTCGACACGAGAATCTACAATTTTCCGATTCGTCGACGTCGCGACGGGGCACTGCCACGGGGCTCGCGGTGGTGGGTTCGGCGTGTGCGCGCGGTGCGGTGCGGTGAGGTGGGTGGGTGGCGGGCCGCGGCCCCGCTGCTGTAGGTAGCCTCTGAGAGGCTGCGGAGGTCGACGGAATTTCGCATCGACTTTTCCCACCGAAAAAAAAAAGCGAAGTGCATGAGAGCTGGCTCGATGGCACATCATGGCACTGTTGTGCGGCCTGATGCTGCAGTTGCTGCTGCGCTTGCGCGGCCTTCCCTCCAGGAGAGGGGGCGAGGGTGATAGGAGAACATCCCTCTTTGGCAACTTCCCGTTTCTGCTCGTTGGGGTTTTGTCTGCAAGTAGGTAAGCAAAAGACCAAAAGATACACTTATCGGTTACATGGAGCCTACGTACCGGGTGTTTCAAAGCGGACAACGGGCAGTATTGCGGGTTTGCCTACTCCCTCCGCCCGTAACGCGCTATAAGGCCCCTAGCCCTAGGCCCTTGAAAGCTCTGTAGCTATAGGCCACTGCGGTTCCAGCGAGTGTGCGGAGGAGTGTGCACTGTTGTGTATACGCTCTAAGACACCCGGTACTCGTAAAGCTAGACAATCAGCTCGCAGTGAGAACGGGGTTCTGATGGCTGTAATCGTTGTATCGTCTTTAAAGACAATACACCACAGTGTTGCGGGCTTGCCTACCCGATCTGCCCGAAAGGCGCCATGGCCCCTTAGGTATGCAAACCCGCAACACTGGGGAGTATTGGCCTTTACACTCGGTAGAAAGTAAAGAAGAAACAAACTAAGGGACAGAACAGACGGAACATAAAATAATTTGTCGTTCGACAAAGTAATGACGTGCGTGAATATAGTCTTAACTCCTTGCGGAGCAGCCATGCAGACACACTCATGAGACAGACTCCATGGCTCGGAGAGCTGCGTGGCATGTCTACCTAGAGAACCCTCCTTTTTACGGCAAGGCGAGGCTTCGCGAGAATCTATAAGACGGCGCCGTGCAGTGCCGTGCCCCGCCACGCGGCTCCGTGCCACGCCGCGAGCCCGCGAGGGAGCTCTCCCATTGGCGCGGGCAGCGGCCGCCCCAACCGGGCCCTGCCATTGGCCGCCGCGCTCATGGCGTCCCCCACCCACCCTCCTCCCT